AAATATTTGCCGAGTGAAAATGAAACGTGACGAAAATTCATGTAAACAAATATATGAAATGGGAGTTTTAAAGCATATACCATGAATGTTATGTGTGATTCATAAGGAATTAAAGATTAAAAATCAGATACGCTGATATATTCCTATCATGTTTTCTTATAATGAACACAGACAGTGCTTTGAAATCCCGATCAGCCTTTCCTCTGTCGCTCTATAACAACAAAGATGCAAAAGTTCAACACTACGCCGCATACTCTGAAAGATAATTTTTGTTTGTATCGAAGGCTTGTATTCTATAGTACTTGGAAAGTGCTGGTAGAACCGTGTGGTGAACATGAATTGATGACAATTTCTTGATCGTATGTAAAAATTGTAAAAATTTTGGTAAGGTTCCATGCGAAAAATTGGAATATTTTTTCTGTGTTGGGAGAGTAGGATTCTAACAGCACTTTTCATGGTCCAGTGATGTTTTTACATAATTATTTTTACAAAAAAGAAATGAATTATTCCCGGGGTAGTGTTGAACTTTTCACTTTTTCATTAAGGCAATTTTTCTATTTATAGATGATGACGTCGTAGTGGAGTGCTTCTTTTATCCTCAGACTAAATGACGTCTATGCAATGGATAATAATAGTAAATGTTTTGTCTATGGCTTTTCCGATTTATCAATGTTACATTTTACGAAAAAAGTCTAAACTCGCCGAAATATGATCTGGGTACTGCCTTAACATACCCGCGTATGCACAACCATTCCCCACGATAAAATAAAGTCCAGGCTTTTTGATATCATTGACAGCTGCTTTTTTAATAAAAATGGAACTCGTAAATTTACTATCATAATTATTTTGTTAAAAAACATTCTGATTGTACACACAAATACTCTGAAGTTAACATTAAAAATATGCTTGAGTTTCTGATTGATAATATCTATGTGGTTTTCCAATAATCTATTGGAATTCAAATGGGTACCCATTGCTCCCCGTTATTAGCAGACTTTTTTGTATTCATATGAAGCAGAATTTGTCCAAATTGTTATGTGAAAAGAAGAAAACATTTGCTGTGGCCTTCAGCTCGACATTTAGATATATCGACGACGTATTGTCAATTAACAATGGTTATTTCCATTCTTATGTCGATACGATATATCTCGGTGAGCTTAAGATAAAAGATACCACAAAGTCTGATACACCTGTTTCATATTTAAATATTTTACTTGAAAAAAGACGTTAATGGTTATCTAACAACCAAGCTTTATGATAGAAGTGATGACTTGAACTTTTCAATCGTGAACTTCCCTTACTTATGCAGCAATATACCTTCATCACCTGCATACGGGGTTTATATCTCTCAGTTGATTCGATACGCAAGAGCATGCTCTACATATGTACAATTTCTAAAACGTTGTAAATTATTGACAAACAAGTTCATGAAACAAGAATATCAACAGTCTCGTTTAAAGTCATCATTTTGTAAATTCTATGGTCGATACAATGACCTTGTCAGCAAGTACAATTTATCATTGAGTCAAATGCTGACTGACGTTGTTCATACTAATTGTTATGCCATTATTTACACACTGAATTGTCGACGGACTTTTCCGTTATTTCCCGATCATGACAAGGAGCACACGGCGGTTGTGACCGGTTGGCAGGGGATGCTCACTCCTCCATGGCACCTGATCCCACCTCTGATGTTTTGGAGGTCTGTGTTTGCTTTTATCCTATTTTGTATTATTTAATGGACTTTTGAGCTTGAATACTGTTCATTATCTCCATATATTTCATACATACATACATACATACACACACACACACATATATATATATATATATATATATATATATATATATATATATATATATATATATATATATATATATATATATATATATATATATATATATATATATATATATATATATATATATATATATATATATATATATATATATATATATATGTGTATATGTATGTATGTATGTATGTATGTATAATTCAAACATACTCGCAATACTAGTAGACTAATTGGTCACAGAACAATTAGAGGTCTTTCCACCTTTTTAAGTATATATATATATATGTATATGTATGTATGTATGTATGTATGTATAATTCAAAAATACTCGCAATACTAGTAGACTAATTGGTCACAGAACAATTAGAGGTCTTTCCACCTTTTTAAGTTTTTGCATGTAATTTAGGTTGTAAAAAAAGAAGAAAAATGCAAAAATGAAAAAGAAAATGAAAGAAAAAATGTTCTTCCATCAGGGATCGAACTCAAAACCCTTAGCTTGAAAGGCAGGCGCGCTAACCACTACACCACGAATTCCGATGAAGATGTATGCAGTAAACTACCTATTTAGGAATAAAAAAATGTTGTACAATGTAGTAATCAGAATTAAATAGTTTTTAGAAACATGTTTCCATATCATTTGGCTTTCAAAGGAAAAAAAACCTAAAGAAAGAAGAAAAAGAAAAAAAATACAACAAAATAAATAAAACTCAAAAATTCGTCTTTTGCTATAGATTTATTGTCGGGCTCTTTTCTCTGTAGAGTTCAGTAGGTTTTCGCGCATCTCCAAATAAATAATGCTTTTTTGCGATTTAGGGGCCAATTTCTCTCTCCTTTCCCTTCTCTCTTCCTTTCTCTCCTTTTCTCTTTTTTCTCTCTCTCCTCTTCTCTTTTTTGTTTCTGTTTTCGTGTATCGCTGACTATAGCCAATGTTTTTATAGTTACCATGGAAGTACAATGCATGAAATGAGTTTTACTATGCATATCGTAGTTCTATTTTTGTGCATTATGCATTCGAAGGTTTAATTTGAGGTGTTAAATGTTCTGATTTAGTTAAACTACTTAAAAAAGTTGCCGATGAAATAATTCGGACTCGAGGCTTATAAACATTTTCGGAATCTCAGACACCCGACAGCAGACTTCGGACTTTTCAGTTAAGGGAAAGTGTTAAAAACATTATTTAGATAAAATGAATTTCTTTTTTGAAGTCTTGATTATCGATAATTACGTTTATTTTGTATAATTAAAGCCACTATACACTGTAACTATTTTACGAAGTGTGTGTGCGGGGGTGGGGGGGGGGGGGGAATTATAATAATAATGTGACGCTCTCTTCCCTATACTAGAGATTTTTCGATTTTATAAATTTTAAAATACCACCCTTTTCCAACAAACCCGTGGTGAGTCAAGGTCTAGGACTAAAAAAAAATAGACTAAAATCTAAGACATACTTAGTGCAGTCTGTAAATAAAAAAGAATAAAGTAAATGGCGTGCTCTAGAAAACATGTTTTGTTGATTTAAAGAAAAAATAACTGGTTTGGGGAAAAAGAAAACATTACCCCGTGTCACATACGTATCACCTACAACTTTTTTCATACCCCACATATCATAGGCGGATCCAGATATATTTGAAAGGAGAGGGTGAAGAGAAAATAACATTTACGAACCAAAGCATTCATTTATAATTTAAAAGAACAATTATTGTAAATTAGAGTTTTATAATCAGGTGTAGTTCAAAGCTCTCAAAGAGCTCTGAACTACACCTGATTATAAAACTCTAATTTACAATAATTTTTCTTTTAAATTATAACGGAATATTACATTCTCATTGGAAGAGCCAAGTGTGCTTCTAGTTAGGCAAGTATCTAAAATCTGGGGCCGCTTTGTGTCTTCCACTGAATCCAGGAATCTTCTCTTAAGATTCTGGGAATTTGAAAGACAGACTTTAAATACAAAACCATTTATTTTAAGTTTGCATCGGCGTATTACAATGAAATCTTGACAATGAATATAATGCAATTTGAATTATCGAGGGAATTGAATGAATACTATCAGTCTTATATACATGAATATAATAGTTCATGTTCAACAAAAAGAAAGAGAGAGAGAAGAAATATTTCATCATTTTTTTTTTATTTTAAGTAATTAAAATCACTCAATTAAATCAGCCTAGCAATATACTTTTCTGTTTCAAATAAAGTATTTTGCTTTCAATGCCACGTTCTTGAACAAGCCAGATATATAACGCAATATACTTAAACTATTTTTCAACACTCTTTTTTAAACAAATAGAAAGGGTTGACTGTTTTCTATATTTAATTTATTTTAACCGAGCCGATGAGAATAAGATGCTGAAAAATCACTTATTTTCCTATATTCCATGTACACTTGAGAGAAACCGAAATTTTTGATCGACTGCACAATGTTGGACTGAACGACGTCGGATTCCATTAACACAAGTCTCTCCTTTTCACCACATCTACTTTTTTTTGAAAATGTTCATTTATTTAGCCTCTATATTTTTTTTAATTTGCACAAATACATGTATAAAAGAGAGTGTAACCACCGTAACCCCCCCCCCCTCTGGATCTGCAGCTGCATATCATGTATAGATATATCAATTCATGCATTTATTTGTTTGTAAGATGCCCCAAAATCTATTTTTATTTAATTTCTACAAATCTCTATAATGTTGGACTGAACAAGGTCGGATTCCATTTATACAAGTCTCTCCTTTTCACCACATCTACCTTTTTTGAAAATGTTTTCATTTATTTAGCCTATATATTTTTTTTTTAATTTGCACAAATACATGTATAAAAGAGAGTGCAACCGCCGTAACCCCCCCCCCCCTTCTGGATCTGCAACTGCATATCATGTATATAGATATATCAATTCATGCATTTATTTCTTTGTAAGTGGCCCCAAAATCTATTTTTTAAATTTCTACAAATCTCTATAATTATGATATTATTTATTATTTTATCTTCATTCAATTTCTATAGATGTAGGAGTTAATGAGAAAAAAAATTCTCAGTACAGTACATACTTCATGTTAGTAAGTTTGAAAACGTTATTTCTATACGTTCCCCGCGAGTCGTCTATTGTTTGCAGTCCGCTGTCTGTTGTACGTTGTCAGATGTCTGAGATTCCGAAAATGTTCAATGGTACATGTATGTACTATGTACGTTGTCATATGGGAAAACATGGATTGGACTCAAAGCGTCCTGACTGCCGATCCTAAGATTGTTACAGGTTCGGTAAGAAGATTCCTGAATGAAAACAGCTTCCATGTGGGTTATATTAAATGCAGCTATGATAAATAAAATGTTCTACATGCATTTTAAGAAGAAAACAAGATAATGAAAGCGTGGAATAGTTTATTTCATACATTCATATTGGTTTACCCCCCCCTTTCATTTATTCTGTATTTCTCATATTTTGGATGACCTTGACCTTTGACCTTGACCTAACTATCAAGAACAAAAATGCAAGAACCCATTTCAGTTTGGTCCCATGTTTCAACGTGTATGCATTTAATTTTTCCCTTCAAGTTAACGTAAACAGCAAAAAAATTCAGGGGCAATAACTCGCATAAAGCTTCGATGAATCCGTTCGCAATGATAGATTAAAAGGCCCTCTCAATTAGTGGAAAGCAATGGTGAAGGTTCTGTATCTCTACGGTTCGTGGTTTCAGAGGAGTAGCGATAACAAACTATTCTTGCGAAAGGGGCAAAAACTTCATTAAATGTCAGCGATCGAAGTCGTTGGGTCAAATCTGAAAATCATTTTAGTAGTCGACTAATATGAAAGATGTGTCACTTCGATAAGTTGTGAAACGAAAAATCAGCGGAAGAAAAATAATAATAATAATAATAACTAGAAACTCATTGCGAGCAATGAGAGGTCTTCCGTTAGATTCTGAAAATAAAAACGAAAATTCAAGCTGAAAAAGTGATAAAAGAAATTCAGACACTCTTAGAGAATTAACCCTGGTCGTCAGCGTGAAAATCCAACGTACTCACCATTAACCAGTCACTTTTTTGCACCACTTCCTGTCACGACCGGAAGAAACAGCGATACAAGATTTTCTCACGATTCAAATAAACTGATGACTGACTATCAGTCCTGAAAGTTTTAGACTTCAGTTGCTTACTGTTGCCGAGCAATATTGTGAGAACAAATTCTAATTTTGAGGACAGGTAAACACGCGACCGGAAGTGAATTTAAAAACGTCTCTGACTTTTCTCTAGATATCTGCAGTATTTACAACGTACATCAAATCATTTCAAGTACTTTATCGATAAGCAATATTTATGAGAAAGTTAAATATAAAAATAACGTAGTTTATCTCATAAAACCGGAAGTTGACGTTTTTGTTTCCGGTGGAATCTAACATATTTCAAAACAGCGAAAGAGATGAAATAATGTGATGCAAGTTTTGATTTAAAAAAGAAAAAATAAAATTTTGATTTCTTTGATCACTTCCCGTGACAAACGGAAGTGACGACTGACGCGTTTAACCCAAATGGTTTCGCTTACTCCTCAAGGTCTATCACTCATAAAAGTTTGGTGTTTTAATCTTTCACCTGTTTTTGAGATCTCTCTCAGCCAACTCATTTTGAGGACAGGAAAACACGCGAGCGGAAGTGAATTTTTGAAAGATATTTAAGATTACTCTAGACATTTGCAGTCTGAATAACATATTTAAAATTCATTTCAAATACTTTATCTAGAAAAAAATATTGATGGGAAAGTAAAATACTCAAATTATGTAGTTCTTCTCTTATAACCGGAAGTTGTCGTTTTTGTTTCCGGTGGGACCAACATCTTTTGAATCTGCGAAAAAGATGCAATAAAGTGATGCAATTTTTAATTTAAAAAAGAAAAGTTGAAAATTTCGATTTCTTTGATCACTTCCGGTGAAGACCGGAAGTGACGGCTGACGCTCTTAACCCAAATGTTTTTGCGTATATCTTAAGCTCTGTTGCTCATATAAGTTTGGTGTCTTAATCTCTCACCGTTTCCGAGATCTTGCTCAGACAACTTCACATTTTGAGGACAGGAAAACACGCGACCGGAAGTGAATTTTACAAAGATATTTGACATTACTCTAGATATTTGCAGTCTAAATAACATATTTAAAATTCATTTCAAATACTTTATCTACAAAGGATATTAATGGGAAAGAAAAATACTCAAATTATGTAGTTTTTCTTTTATAACCAGAAGTTGACGTTTTTGTTTCCGGTGGGACCAACATATTTCGATACTACAAAAGAGGTGCAATAATGTGATGTAAGTATTGATTTAAAAAAAGAAAGTTGAAATTTTACGATTTCTTTGATCACTTCCGTAAACGACCGGAAGTGCCGACGACGAAAGAAAATGCGATTCTGCAAATTTAGAAGTCACGTTCTATGCTCTCCAATAAGTCTCCAGTTCATATCTTTAGCCATTCTTGAAAAAAAGGGGCGACAAAATTTCATTTTAAAATCAGGAAATTGCCCGTAACTTGGAACCAAAATGGAATTTTCCAAATTTTTCTTGTGATGAAACAAGTTCATACAATGACTAATTTTTCCTGAAAGTTTCAAGGAGAACCAGTGAATAGTTTTCGAGAAAACGCCTGCACAAAATTTGGTCAAAAAAATAAGAAGAAGAAGAAGAAGAAACAGTAGAATCACTATAAGGTCTTCCGTGAAAACGGAAGACCTTAATAAACAGACAAATTTCAATAGGACTTTCCACATAAAGGTGGAAAGCCCTAATTATTTAATATTTTCCAATATTTTCCAATACCATTTTTTCATCATATGTTTATAATGCATGCTTACATTTTCCAATAACTTTTCAATGTATTTAATAGATATCTTCTCAAAACCTTTAAATTATTTTCTAGAGCAAAACTCTAAACTTCTACAAATAGAAGAAAGGATGCAAACTAAACTCACAAATCTGGAAAACAGAGTGAAAAATATAACCAAAGGTAAATATTCAGCTTTATTTGTCATCTACGGATTTTTCTATCTACCTTGTAATGACAAAAAGCTCATGACTGGTATGACCGGTCAACAAAAGATGCTCAATCTTCCATCATATTTGGCCCCACCTCTGTTTTAGAGGTCGTTGCTGGTTCTGTACACAATCTGTTTTGTTTGATTAAATTTTTGAACAAGATCACTGTTATCTTCTTTAAATTTCCTTTCTTCGACTTAGATTGACAATTTGTGATCAACTAAACATAAGGATCGTTAAAGTTAGTGTCCTTCTAAAGCAATTTTTTTTGTGATAAAAATATTTGAATTTGCAGAGAGAGGGTTGTGCTATTATTTCAACATACCACTCAATATCTTTATTTTCCAATATTTTTTCTCTGTGTTCGGAATATACGAGGGTTGTACGATAAATTGATTGATTCTATAATATTTTTTTTTAATAATTAACGTCATCTTATACCTTTTTTTTTTTAGAAATGTTTTAACATTAAATATCAATGAGTTGTATTAAAAATGTAAGAAAAAATTGTTATTTGTTTCATTTCCTCTGCTGATCTTATCCGGTAAAAATGATATAAAATTGATAACCGAAATTAAGCTACTGGAATAAATTTTTGCAAAATAAATTTCAAGTGAAAAAGAATTATTTCAATGAGTTGATATTTGGACATATTGTGTGAAATATATAGAGAGAGTATTTTTGAGAAACTCAAGAGGGTATGTGTTTAATTTTTCAAAGTTATATGCTGATTTTAAAATTTATTTACACGATTTCCTTAAAATGGCATAGAATAAAACCTCACATATTCACAAGAAGATATTTGTACATTTGATAATATCCGTATTTTAAATTTCTTTATAAACATTATAAATAAGATTGATATGTTCCGTAAACTTTTCGAACCCCCCCCCCCCCTGGGATGTATACCTCCGTAACAATAAATTACTATAGTTAACTATAGTAAATGAAAGTTTTCACTATAGTAAATTAAAGTATTTTTACTATGAATTTCAGATAGATATATTTCATTTTTTTTAAATTACTGCAAGTAATTTTTTGATATTAAAAAGAACTATTTCTTGCAAATTTACATATTGTTTTTTTAAATTACATCATTTTCATGTAATTTAAGAAATATTAAGGCTCTTAATCTTCATAAAAGTTCTAGAGTTTCATAGTAAATCAAAGTATCAAAGTATTTACTATAGTGAACTAAAGTTAACTATACTTAACTATAGTTAATTTTTGTTAGGGCTTATTCCAATTTTTGTTTAGTACATTCAGTCTATAAATATCTTAACAAAAACATTTTTTTTTTGTCTTCTAGGCATACTCCTTCCTCAAATACTAGAGAGAATGCAAACTGAACTCACTGAAACATTACATTTCAAAAATTGTATATTTCAAGAGAACATTTAACTTAAAATCAATAGCTGACAGAGAGTTAAATAGTGGTCAATAACAATGCATGGGGTATATCATCAGGGCCTATCTTATCTTTTTTTTCTAACTTTTAGAAATGTCCACAAAGTCGTGTCCATCAAATTGGATACCGTTTGGGTCTTCTTGTTACAATATCAGAGCACAGGAGAAGTCGTGGTACCATGCAGCTGTAAGCATCTTCTCTTAAAACTTAAAATTAGTACTAGTTAAATAAATGTCAAAACTATTTGAAAACGGATGTCAGTATTTCAATAATTCTGTAGTCGTGATGACTGCCTTGTAAGCAGATATAACCTATTATTCGGTCCTATTTTCACTAATATATTTCATGAAAATTATAATATTAATGCTTAATTTGGCCACGGAATCTTCCTTATACCTCATCAACACATAGGGTTCACGGCGGGTTTTACCGGTTGACAGGGGAGGCTTACCTCTCATGCACACCTGATACCACCTCTGGAATTTATGGGGCTCTGTGTCTTAAAGCCTCATTACAGACTTCTATTGTCTGTGTTTTTTAGATCAATCATTCTTCACTTCTTTCATTGTCATTATTACATGAAATTTGTAGATGGAGTGTCTACAGTATGGTGCAAAACTAGTCGAGATAGAAACAAAGCAAGAAAACGATTTTCTGAAACAAAGAATTAGAATATATGATGAAGATCTTCTGAAACAAAACATCACCACATATAGTGAATATAGTAAGTATTTAAAAGTCAGATCTCCTGCAGAATTTATTTATGAGATGTTCAAATATAATGTAACATTATATCTATATTACCTGATAGAAAAATTTTGGATCGGTGGAACAGATAAAATCATAGAGGGAAGATTTGTCTGGGCCTCTACCGGAAATTTGCTTTCTTTCACGGACTGGGACGCAATATTAATGGAACCAAATGACAGAGGAGGCAATGAAGACTGCATAGAAATCTCCAGTTTTCCAACAAGAAGAGGAATATGGAATGACGCTAACTGTGCCGCTGAGTTTTATTTCATATGTGAAAGATCTCTTTAATATCTGAATTAGTAAAGTGTCATTCTCATTGAATCGTAACTCACCAAAAATTGCATAATACCATTTCGTCAAAATGGATTCAACTTCAAAAAATGGTTTTGTTGAAGTAAACTCAATGTTGGTTTTTTTTTTCTTTTTGTGTATATAACATGAGACGTTTTGTACTGATTACAACTAAGTTTTACTGTCTTTTTATTTATCTATGTTCTTTCACTTTCTTTATCAAGGTACACGTTGCCTGGCCTTTTTTCTTTTTTAATGAAATTTTACCTTTAAATAATATATGGGTAAAGGACTTTTTTAAGCATGACTTTATAAAAGAATATTTATTCTCAATGCATTAATTTGTTTTTGTCATGAGAAAAATTAAATTTCTCTACTTTCGCAACAAAAAATTGAAGGATAGATTCCCTTTTATAATTTTCTTAAGTTATAAAAGGGAATCTATCCTTTCGTAGCAATTTAAGTCTATCAGCTTTGATTATTTTTGTTTGTTTCCTTGTTTAACATCCCTTTTGAGAATTTTTCAATATTTTTCAATTATATTGAGATGTCCTCAGTTGTCGGTGGCGGGCTGTAAAATTAGACCTACACTGGGTACTCATGCAGAGGGGTTCGAACCCGCAACGTAAGGATCAACTCCATGCTCCACAACTCTAGGCAAAACATTCTTACCACGGCGGCGAGCGGGGACTTTCAGCTTTGAAATTGTTACAAACTATAAAGTATATAATGAATGTCAATTTTCAGAATTTTACTTGATTTATTTAAGAAATGAAATTTTTGAAGATTCATGAGGACATGAACTATGACGCTTCACGCCGGCATATTTCCCGAAGCGCTAACGCGCTTCATGATAAATATGCCGGCTTGAAGCGTTATAGTTCATATTCCTCACAAATCGTCAAAAAAAAAATAAATTCATTTCTTATATTTACATTATTTTTCTGATGAAGTTACGCATTCAGCTGTCATTTTTGAAGCAAAACAGTTTGCACTATAGTTTTGACGTAAAGTACGGTATTATGACGTAACAATGGAGATATTCATCCTCATCGCATGGTAGTTCATGAGAAATTGAACAATCTTCTTAATTGCAAAGAATCTTAAGGAAAAGTATTGCCGATGACTATTCTTGCATGATAAATAATGCATTTTCTTTTTCTTATGTATGATGATTGACAATTTAATAAAACTTTTGGTGTCTGATTTAATTATTTATTTGTTGATGCCATTACTTGAAGATACTAGTACTAGACAAGGCGTTTATTTAAATTGACCCCCATGCCTTGTTGCTTTGTACACGAGGATTTTCATTCGCTGCATCATAAGTTATGTGTAAAAATCCGAACATCTATCACACAACAACCAAGTCAAGACACTTGAGCTTGCTAAATGCTACACAAGTCCTATATGAAGGTGGTTGCACATCTTTTTCAGTAACTGTCGACAATCTCCTTGAAGAGAAAGAATGTTATATACATTAACTAAATACTTTTACATAACAATTCCATTCAAAATTTGAAAGTAAATGGGCAATTTTATATACGTGATTCAATAAATTCCTCTTTAAGTTCAAGATCTAGTAAATGACTTTAAACTGGTTTTGGTGCTAGATCCATTATGACGTCATAATCAATTTATTCTTTCTTTCTTCCTGTACTTTACACCTCTTATAGAATTATGTAGAAAATAAAGTATTTTCATGGAATTCAATTTGAAATCATGTGAAAAATATTCCCGATACATGTACTTATATTCAATATATTATTATTTTAAAGAAAAGGCTAAGAACAAATAAATTACCATTTCGGACAGACTGTAGGCAATCTGGATACATTTCCTTTATCTGATATGGAATAAACTTCAATATTCATTACTGGTTTTCTTAATTTTTCAGTGAAAATGACCAAACTAAAGTTATACATGTCAAGCATCATTAAACTTTAAAGAAATTTATTTCTCAAATTTGAGAAATTTGTAAGCACCTTTCATTTACCAGATCGTGGCCTTAAGCATTGAGATTTCAGTTAAAGCACAGTATTCAATTTGTCGGCATGGCCAGGTGCTGTTTTAGGACCTGCGAAATCCAAAATGGAGAATGAAATGCTAAAATTTATATTATTTAATTTTTTTTATTCATGATTTTTAATTTCGTTTATCATTATTATCAAATTACCGCCTATAAAAGCTGGTGTGCTTTATAGACATAATACTAATACCCGTTTTGACATCAAGAGGTATAAAGAGACTCACGAATTTATGTCCACGAAATGCAATTTCACATATATAACCACTGAACATTTCTTCAACCACGAAATTTAGTCCCCATGAGCCAATATATTTTCCTCAAACCACGAAAATTCGACCCCTCGAAAATACGTGATTTTTCAGTAGCCGTTTTGACACAGTTATAAGGTACCGGTAAATAACGCAAATGACTATTGCGATGGAAAAAATGACACATTAATTTTAAACTTACTATAGTTATACTTTTGCAATAATTATTATTTCAGAATGTATTTTTTTCTATTCAATTGAACTAAAACAATATACATTTCAATGATTCAAGAGTATTGAAAATGCATAGTTTGTACTTTGTATTCCACCGCGCAATGACAAGATAGTGCTAGGATAGACAGAATATTTAATGTTGAAGATTTCCAATGGATTAGATAAGAAACATATAAACAATGCATGAAAATATTATATATATAAATGGAATTTAACCAGACTTAATTTAAAGCTGCTATTAATTTATACCCATTTTCTTCTATCATGACACTCCTATTTTAAATCAGCTAAATTCACCCATCATTGTGAACAATTTTTTATAAAATAATATAAGCTTAGTCAATTTGTAATTCTTAACTTTTAATGAAGAAGTCAGACACAGCAATTATCATTCCAAAGGAACGAAGAGTGATCTGAGGGTTTGTTTTCTGTATAGAACAGAAACTCTTTACGAAGAGGTTAGAGGATAATTATTGTAGATGTCCATTTCACAATCATTAAAAGTTCATATGAAAATGTTATGCAATTTTGCAACATCTAAAACTTCTTTATGGCAAAGCATGTTAGAAAAATGCAGATAAAATCATAACATTGTATTTACTATTGCCCCTCAAGTAATCAAAAGAAATTTCAACATTTTTAATTTTGCAGTTGACATATAAATTAATTATTGATAAAGAGAGTAATATGTTTTTCCTAAACAAGAAAATATATTGTCAATCTTTAACAGAAATTTAAATAACCTGTGAGGTATGAAATCAAAGCGGTTAAAATACGTGAAATGGAAGGTCTGGGTTCTATATAGATTTTATTTTTATTTTGTGATTTAAAGGTGATCATTGAAAAATCAATTTAATTAATTATCTAACGTATTGGACAAGCACAGTGTAAACTATGTGTATACAACTGCACAAACAACTGCATTTATATACAAAAAAAGTTATCTGGATAGATAACGGCACAAGCTTTTCATTCGTAATTCTGTTTTGTTAAGTTTTAAGGTTCAATCTGATTTACGGCATTACATTGAATATCATATACTAAAATATGTCCGATGTACGATTATCTTATAAATTATTTATCAATGTTTGTTTGACATGTTTGGCAGTCTATATATATATATATATATATATATATATATATATATATATATATATATATATATATATATATATATATATATATATATATATATATATATATATATATATATATATATATATATATTCTTGTTTCGTCAACTTGTTTGTCAATAGCTCACCTCGTTTTAGAAATTGTTCGTACGTAGAGTATGTCCTTGCGTATTGAATCAACTGACAGACATAAAACCAATATGCATGTGTATATTGTTACATAGGTAAGGGCAGATGATTGAAAAATTGAAGTCATCATTTTAATCATAAAGCTTTATTGTTCTGGTTACCATTAACTTCCTTTACTAGTAATAAATCCAAATATGAAACAGGTGTGTCAGGCTCTTGGGTATCTATTAGTTCAAGCTCTTTGAGATATACCCTGTCTATATATGAATGGAAATAACTATTGAAAAGTGATAATACGTCGCAATATATCTAAATGTAGACATGAAAACCCCAGGAAGTGTTTTATCTCATATATCCGATTTTGAATAATCTTGCTCCATATGAATATAAAAATAAGGTACTGGTTAGAGCGTCTGCTTTAGAGTTGCAGGGTAGAGAGCTAACCCTCACGTCGCGGGTTTGAATCCACTGCGGGGACATGGAGATCGATCCTTCGGATGAGACCGTAGAAACCGAGGTCCCATTTGCAGTAGGTGTTGACACGAAAAAAAATCCATCACTGCTCAATGGCCCTGAGTGCCGATAACGCACAAATTTGCAGCCTTCCATCGTCAAGTGATCGCGTCTCCATATGAGTGAAAAATTCTCGAGAAGTACGTTAAACAATAAATGAACAAAAATAGGTCTGCGAATAACTGGGCGCAATTGTTACTTATGGGAATTCAGGCAGATTGTTGAAAAACCTCGTTCGTGGACTGATGCAATAAAATTATTTTTAAGTGATCGGTGCTTGTAAAATTTACAAGGAACATTAAACATTAGAAATTTTAGCCACAAATAATGATGAATTGCCAAATTATCATTAAATACAACAGGTACTTTACGATCATCTGGCGCTGTCAACGACAATGTAATTGTTTCTCAATGCTTGCTACCATTGCTCCATAAACTTTTTTGTAAAGGGCGGAGATAGCAACCGATTTCAAAAATTCTACAAATAAAACAGAAATGTGAAGAGGGTATAAAACACAGACACCCCTGGAAATTTCTGAGGTGAGATCAGGTGCCAAGGAGGAGTAAGCATCCTATGCTGACCGTGAGCCCTATATATTGATCACGTAGACGGAACAGTCCATAGTCAAACTGAGTATAAAACAGAGGTCTAACAATTGGTATGAAACAAATCAGCCAAAATTCTAGAGTCAGTAAAACATCCAAACATGA